TTTCACAGAGAAGCTGAAGCAACTTCAACGCAAAGTTATTCCCTGAATGATGCTGCTTCTTTATTGAACTGCAAAGCCAATGTGCAAAAGACAGACAGACTGCATTGACATTGCAAAGTAAACCCAAGAGTTACTGGCTTTTTCTTTTTCTTTTGCATGCAAGCAAGTAACTCTACTCTCCATTTAAACTCTTATTGTTTTCCTTATATTGATATCCTTGATATGCTTATCTTGATAATGACACATCTACATCCCTAATTACTGCAATCAGGTAGCACTTCTTAAAGGTAACATAAGGAGTAGTGGATATAAAGTAAAATAGAAACTTAGAAATAATATTTCCAAGTCACATACTAGTAACTATGTCACTTTAGTAATATACTAAATCACATAATTAGAGGTCTTTCTGATTTGTTGAAAAAGATCAATTTAGAATGACATTCCCACACTGTTAACATTCAAGGCAGTATAATTTAATTGGAATTTCCCTTTGTCATTTAACTCCAATAATCTCTAAATCATGGAACATATGTAGTTTGGTTAATACTTTAAGTTGTATAATTTTCGTTCTTTAATACCAAATGTCTTGCTGCTTTCTGAACATTCTTTTGAGTTGATCAGATTCCCAAGACTGAAAATATCATTTAAATATTCCCTAAGAATATCCAGGAAACAGTTTCCAATGTAGGAAAAAGCCAATTTGAAATAGTGGAGATCAAAAAATAGAGAAGTAAAGGACAGTAAATAGCCCTATCCTTTCCTCCGTAACTTTAAGATCTACTTGTAAGTTAAAGAGCACCCTAAAATAAAAAGTTTTACTATGATTAAATATTCACAGACTGCTTGCTACTCAACTTAGAACTTATTGGAGGTTATATGTGAAATATAAGGCATTGCCACTGATTTTAAAGAGTTTATAGTTGTCTTGAAAAAGACAAAAGCAAAATTAAGAAATAATTAAAATCTGCTCATGAGGTAATTATTATAAGTACATTAGATATCCAAAGACCAAAGGTGGAAGGACTATGTTTCAAGTAGCTTTGTCTGAATATGCCTTCTCAGAAAAGACAGGACTTTGAATTTGTCTTGAAGAAAGTAAGGGATTCAGAAAGCAGAGGACAGTTTCTGGTTGGGTAACCTGGAAGTCTCTTGGACCTTTGATATTATTGTGGCCTCAAAGATAGGAGTGAGTAAACTGAAGATTTCAATAGCTTAAAATATGGTTATTGGGCAATACAATAAAGTGGTTAACCAGATTGTGGAGAGTTGCCGGCGGGTGTTTGCCAGTGACCGTGAAGAAAGTGGTTTGTAATCTGTAAACCATTAAAAATTTCTTGTGGCAGATTCTGTAGTGCTCAACTTCTAATCCAGGATTTTCTACTTCTTATATCTTTCCTAGCTGGAAAGTAGAGAAGAGAATTTCTTTCATCGGCCTCAAAGAATCGATGTGAGGCTCAAGAAATAATGAGTACTCCAATTAAACTGGCCAGTGTTAAAAGGACCAAGAATAACAAATGCTGGCAAGGATGTGGAGAAAAGAGAAACCACCTATACTGTTGGTAGGACTGTGAAATAGTATGGCCGTTATGGAAAACAGTATGGAGATTTATATACCAAAGGAATGGAAATCACCATGTGGAAGGGATACCTGCACTCCCCTGTTCATCACAGCTCTATTTACAATAGCCAAAATGTGGAACCAACTTAAATGTCCATTGATGGATGACTAGATAAGGAAATGTGGTATATATACACAATAGGATACAACTCAGTCATAAAAAAAGAATGAAATTCTCCCACTTGCAACAACATGGATGAGCTTGGAGAAAATTATGGTAAATGAAATAAGACAGAGAGAGAAAGAGAAATACCACATGTCCTCACTCATAAGTGGGTGCTAAGAAGGAAGGAAGGAAGGAAGAAAAGAAAAAAAGAAAGAAGTGTACCACAATAATACATTGATCTTTCAGAAGGAGAGAACAAACCTATAGTTACTAGAGGTGGGGGTGGGGAAAGGGGGCTGGAGAGATTGGGTAAGGGGCATAAACAATAATTATGATTTGTAATAATGAACATGCTAATAATATTGATTTGATCAACACATGTTGTACACAGGTGATGGTAGTCAACGTTGTACCCCCCAAAATATGTATAAGCAGTTATGCTTCAATAAAAAAAAAAGAAAGAATGAGCATAAAAAAGTTTAGGAAGCTGCAAACCATTCAGAATGTTTTCATTCATATTACATTACTCTGTGGGGTTATGACTAGAGTTAAATTGCTTTTGACAGGTAGTAAATCTTTCAGGCTACCAGGATGACGATGTCATTTTGTGGATTGTTTTATTATACTGTAGTTGGGAACAAAAATAACACAGGGCCTTTCTCAACCACCTGGACACAGCGCGGGTGAGACAAATAGTTTCCCTTTGAACTGGTGATAAAGAAGCAATTACTTTTAAAGTGCTCTATCTCCAGTGGGTTTTGGTGCTATCATTCTCAACCTTAGGGGATCTTTTGAACATACGTGCTCCGACCTGTCTTTGCCCAAGACCAACATCAGAGATGCCCAGATAGGAGCAGACATGGGCAATGGGCCAGAATGATTTTAATGAGAAGCCAGGTTAACTTACACACTGCTTCCTGATTAGATTGGGCAACCCAACAGCCCACTTCCAGTGGGAACTTTGTATTACTTGCTTGCCAGTTGAAAATCAAATATTTTTTTCACCTTATATTCTGTAAACAATTCATGGTGAGTTGATTCAGAGTGCAACCCAGGTGAGGCATGTCCATCTATAAGACTGACAGGTGGAACTGGAAAGGTCTCATGACCCTTCTCTGATCTTAACATTTGGTACCCCAAACTGATTCATATATTCACTTATATTTAAAATAGCTTATTTGGAACTAACCTAAACACATACACACACACATTTTAAAACTCAATAACCTATGTTATTAAACTTTTTTTTTCACCAAGTCTTATTGTACCGTGGTTTATTCCCTGTGGTTAAGCTGAATTTAATTGCTCATGATCTTTAGTCACATTTTTGAAGTTTTGTCTTAGCCACTTCAGTGAGGCTTATCTTCTGTTTTTAGATACATTTCAATCTCTAAAAAGTCAGTGTAATAAATCTGCAGGCTGTTGTCTACAGATTACTACTCCCCAGAAGGATGAAAGATTACATTCGCTGAGTCAGGTATGATGCCAATGGTATCAGGAAGCTGTTTAGGACAGAGAACTTCCCATTTAGCTTCCCACAAAGTAAGAGCCAAACCTTCCAGCCTTCCTTAGCGAGAGAATTTCTTAAGTTTCTTTCCAGAGTAAATGTTCTAAAGATCTATGACACCTCTTTCTCGCTTACCAATGGAGGTCATGTCTTGCCAAGTAAGATGGGCGAGGGAGTTAATAAAATTGCCCAGTGTCACAGGGGACAAGAAAAAGAGTTTCATTTCAAGACTGGTTTCCAATTGCCATCATGTTTGCCAATTATTTTCTGCTAGCCTATGATGAGGACAAAGTTCTGGAGAATAATCCAGAAGAGGATCTAGTTAGATTTCTATGAAAGAAAGCCTATGGCTCATTCCAGCATCATAGCCATGCCTGCTATGGAATTAGACATGCGGAAGACCTGGCCATTAAAACTTCAGTGTTGTAACTACTCCCACAGACAAAGAGAGAAGAGAAAGAGAGAGAGAGAAAGCTGGAAGCTACCTCACCCTTCAATTTCAGGTGGCAGCTCTGGGCTCACTGGGAAATAGAACAGGCCTGTTGAAACAGACTTTATTACCACTAATCACAAAATTGGATGCTACCAGAAGCTTGGGGGGGGGAGCACCCCTCCCCCCATTAAGTTGTTTGGGGGAAGCCAGAGTGGGTGCTGTCTTGCTGTGAAATTGATTCAAACCCACAGACCAAACTTCCAGATGAGTCCATCAAACTCAGCCTCCCACAGCTTCTCCAAGTTGTGCCAGATGTACACCTAGCTGAGGAACCAAAGCTAGAGCAGGCTTGGGCTCTCTGCAATTGCTTTAGACAGCACTCAACCTACCCCACCTCACCCCCAACCAAGATCAAAACCTCTTCTAATTCAATAGTGTATTGAACTGCCCGAAAGCAAGGTATCATCTTCCAGGACAGTTTGCTGGGCGATTTTTGAAGATTTTTGCTTGTTAAACACTTTGACACACATGCTTGCTAAACCCTTTGACACACATGCTTGCTAAACCACAAGTATAGGATTTCCAGTAAGTATATGATTTCCAGTAAGCAGACTTGACTTGGGAGCCTGTTCCTGCCACTGACTTCAGGTGGGAGTAGGGACACTTTCATTATTATTATCTAGGCTTCTGGAACTGGCTGAAGTCCAAAGAATCATAAAATAATTTAAGGAACCTAGAATGACCTGCCTGTAAGGAGAGGAGTCTTTCAGTTCAGTGCAGTTCTAATCACGGATTACATTTCCTGATTAATAAACAATAATAATAATTAGAGAGGATTAAGGACCTTCAGAAATTTTTCTAAAGTCAAACCTCCTTCTACTTTGGTGCCAATTTCCTCTCTAGATGGAGACGAGAGGCACCTCCCAGAGGGCTCTGTCCCCTGTGGAAGCTGGCCTTCGCTAGCCCTGGCTGATCCAGGGGATGAGGTCCCTGCAAGATTGGTCCTCACCTCTGGCGGGAGCAACAGCTCCAGCTCCACCGCGGGACGGAGCTACAACGTCTCCTGGAACGGGTGCCCACAGCTCCTCCCAGCCACCCTCTTACGAATTTTCACTGTCCAGCCCCCATCCACCGAGCCCTCATCCCCACTCACCCCGGAGTCCAGGGAATTTCCCGAACATCCCAAAGTTTGAGTTTCCTGCCTGGGGGGAAGGGGCAAGCGCAGATAAAAGGAGTGCAGAGGTCTTGAGCGAGCCACACTGCCCTGAACCTTCAGATCTCCGCCTCTCTCTCTCCTCTCCAACCTGCGCCTCCTCGCCTCGCTCCCTTGGCCGCTATGAACCTCCTGCTCTGCCGCTCTGCCCGCATCCCCGGCCCTTCGGGCTCGCTGTGCGCGCTGCTCGCGCTGCTGCTGCTGCTGCTCACGCAGCCGGGGCCCTTCGCCAGCGGTGAGAGCGCAGGGCACGCGGGAGGCACCCGGCCAGAGCGGCGCGTCCCAGCCTCCCGGCGGCCGCTGCGTCCCGGGCGCCAGGAAAGGCTCTTCCAGCAACCGGCTCTATAACGGTGTCTCTCTTTCTTTCCCAGCTGCTCCTGTCGCGGTCGTGGTGAGAGAGCTGCGCTGCGTTTGTTTAACCACCACGCCGGGAGTTCACCCCAAAATGATCAGTAATATGCAGGTGATCGCTGCAGGTCCGCAGTGCCCCAAGGTGGAAGTGGTGTAAGTTCTAGTGCACTGCGGTGTACGCTGTGACCTTGGTAAAAGAGAAGTCCTCCAACCTGGGCGTTCAGCACCTGTGGCTCATGAGTGCATCCTCTTTTTCTCTCTCCAGAGCCTCCCTGAAAAACGGGAAGGAAGTCTGTCTAGACCCAGAAGCCCCTGTGATCAAGAAAATCATCCAGAAAATTTTGGACAGGTACTTGCCACTCTGATCTTTGTGGTTTCTTAATCTCTTCTCCACAGAGTGCAGACTTCGCAAGGTCCTTATTTTCTCTACAGGATTTAGGTGCCACATTCCAGACCATGCTTAGAATGCAAAGGTTGTTAAGAAGAAGGGAAAGTTGTTCTGGAATGTCCTGAAAAAAACCTTTTATCACTAATCTTACATGTAATTGAATAAGCAATTACAAAGAGCTCATTACTGAGATATATTTTTTGTCTGCCCTTTGCTTTTATTGATCTTTATTCTTGTTTTCACTAAACGTTTCAAGCGCTGTGTTTTGAAAACGGGGCAGAGTAGACAGGAGTGTGGAAATTTGGTCAAACTGATATAATTCTTTTCTCAACAGTGGAAACAATGAGAACTGATTAAGAGACAGGACCACGCATTGGAAAAATTGCCCCGTCTTCAGCAGAGCAGTTTTCTGGACGTCTCTGGACCCAGTGAAGACATGAAGGAAGGGCTGATTTTTTCCAGTACTCAGCTTTCTTCATGGATTTCCCACTTTGAAGGAGGGGAAAACCTATGTTTGTCCCTGAAGCTCAGCTTATGAAGTATTTAGCATACTATTTATGTCCTGCTATTTGCTGTTATTCCATCTGCTGTGTTATTGGAATCTTTGGCAATTGGCTGTTTTGTGAGCCAAGAACCACTGGTTGTTAATCTTTCGATGCATCTTGAAGATTACTATTGTAATTCTAGAATCTGTTCCTTACAGTGTTATTGAAAAAGCTGTGGATTTAATACGTAAATGATGTTTCATTAGAATGCTATTGAGGGAGATACAGTAATCCTCACTCTTCTTATAAAATAGGAAACATTTTAGTGGATTTTGGGGGGTAATGTGTTAGAGAACGTCCTTATTTTTGATCCTGGGATGCTATTACAGTTATATTTCATTAAAAAGCTGGGTGTATTGTACCGTTATTTGCGTAGAATATATTTCCTTATTCAGAACATCTAAATGTTTAGGTTCTATAAGGACTGATATATTCTCTTCCTATAATTTTAGACATTTGATGTCTTCTTAGTATGGCATACTGTCATGATTTACTCAATTAAACTTTGATTTTATATGCTATTTATTAACTATTTTATTAGGAGTGCTATAATTCTGATTACTAAATATGGTTTGGATAGTTGAAGAAGCCAGGAAACAGGTAAATTCCTGGCTTCTAGTTTTTATAGAAATGTATCCCTTTAATCTTTTTCAATAAAAGCAAACAATAATAATCTGTACTCTGAAGATTTCAAATACATTTGAACTGTTGAGTATAAATTCATTTAGTTTTCCAAAAATATACAGCATTGCTAAGATTTTTAGATGCCTACAGTACATCTTTGAAAGGTATTGACCACTTTGTTATAAGGAATTGTATATGCATCACATTCACTGTACTAAAATTGTACTTTTTTAGTGTATGCCTCATTGGCTTATAGTACTTATTTTGTTCTTTGGAAAAAAATAAAAGATTTTAAAACTTTACTCCTGTAGTTTCTTACTTCTGATACTGTTACAAAAATTTTATTTATTTTTAATTTTACATTATTTTAAAAATTAATTCTGCTCCTCTCTGGCTAGCAAAGAGGACCGTCGCTTTACAGTGCCATTGCATTGGTTCAATCTTTCTCCACTCTCACTTCCCTTTCAGATACTCCTTCAAGGCACCAACAGCTTCTGGAGTCTTTAGAAAATACAAATACAATACAACTCATCTATCTTAAATCCTTAACTGGCCCTCTATTTTCTAGACATGAAATAAAAGTTGCTAGGCATGGTAAAAGAGATTCTGTCTCATCCCACTCCTGATTACCACTTCACTTCTGCCTAACATTCTTTGCAGTCTGGCATTTTAGTTTCCTAACTGGCCATGCTCTTCCCTGGGTCCATGACTTTGCATTTGCGAGGGCCTCTACCTGAAAGGAAATTAGTCCTTTTCTGCCTATAGAAGAAAGCTTATTCATCCTTCAGAACTCAAGCAATACCTCTTTCATGAAGTTTCCCTTGGCACTCCCAACAGAGCACACGGTTTCCATTTTGATGTTTCCATAGTATCTTCTTTTTATTGTAATGATCACAAATGTTGCATTGCTGCTATTTATTTATAAATTTCTTTAGCTGACTCTACTAAGAGCTCTCCCAGAGCATCAACCACATTTCACCCGTTTCTGCATCTCCACCCAATGCATGGCACAGAATGATTTAATGAATTGATAAGTTATCCTGACCCTCAGGTTGTTAGTTAGTATCCTAAAATCAGTAAACAGACTCATGGTTGGTGTTGATTAAATTGTAATTCTTTTACTTCCATTTCTCCTTCTTGTCTACAGGTAATACAACAAGTGATTTGTCATAAGCAATCTCTTCAACCTATAACACCTACTCCTTGCTTTTACCTGGTTAACTTCCATCCTTCCTCCAGATAGCTTACCTGTCACTTCCTGGAAACAATCTCTCTGACCCTTCCCCCTATCAGATTAAGGCCCCTTTTATACCCTCTCATAGCTCTCTGTACTTTTCCTTTGTAACATTTTCTCACCAGGTTATAAAGAGTTTATAGACTATTTATATGTGGTCATTTGTTTAGTGTCTATCTATTTCAATTCACTGTAAATTCTGTGAGGGCAGAAACAGTGTTTATCATGTTCATCTCATTTCCTAGGACTAGTCCTAACACGTAGTAGGTATCTAAACAGATGACTGATCTAGGGTAAACAAGCCCCACTGTCTCTCCAGTATTAAAATAGCAATTTCATATAAATAGCCCATTCTTGGGAAAAGCCAAAAAAGGAAATGAAAGAGACAAATCCAACTAGTATATATGCATATGTGCCCCCACTGTGATTGGATTAATGCATTATATATGCTGATATTGGCATGTATTTGTATATGCTAATATATTATTAGCCTATGTATATCTCACCTAGGTTTTTCTGTATCTTTTGCTCTCTCTCCTTATATATAAGATATCAATTAGATTAATGTATTTTCTATTATTATATATTGATATATCCATAGAACAGAGAGAGAAAGAGACAGGGAGATAAAAAGATATGGAAAAAACTAGAGTAATTTCAGAGATAGGTTTGCTGATAAATTTTTTCAGCAATATAGAAAAGCATAAAATATCTCTAACCTTTTTAGAAAGCATTATTTCTGTAGTTTCTCTTTGCTCTCTCAAATAATATCTTTTTTTTTTCTTTTTGAACCTATGATTTATACAGTAATGCTGGGGAAATGCTAAAAAGCAAACCAAATTATCACAAAGGTTCAAACTCTAAAATTTTGTGTTTTAACAATCCCTGATTTGTCATATCAACACCCAAATACTTATCGAATAATACCTAATAGTAATAAATTAAAGCATATTATATGCCCTTTGGATGAGCAAAATATGTTTTGTACTTTCTATTATATATTGGTATATCTACAGAATAGAGAAATAAACATTACTGGTTATTTTTTTCTTTGTCATCATTCAAGATCTTTGTTTTTACCAGAAGCAAGACTTACAAGTTTAGTTTGATCATAGACCATAGAATAATATTCTTGCAATTCTAGCTGTCATGCCCGTTCTACAATTGGTCATTCCATAAAGAAAACAGATTATAGTATATTACCAAAGTGTAACCTATATAAGAACCTCAGTAACAGCCACTGCTCAGCATCCTACCATTACTAGTTGATTCTGCCACTAGCAAACTCAGGGTCTAACATGTCTGGGAAAATTTTTTCTAATGTATGTCTTCTAGAGATATGTCTAATAGTTTCCTCATACTAACTCTTAAATACTATTTTCACTCTGTTATTCATCTGAAACTGTCTCTCATATATGAAATCACCTGGAATTGAACAAATGATCAGCTAAAATCTACTCTCCTACGTTACTGCCCCAATCTGGACAATTTTCAAAGTGTAATTAACGTCCTTCATTCTACCAGACTTTCCTGCTTGCCTCTGTGTGTGACGCATTCACATAATCCTTCAATTCCTGAAGGTATGACAAGATCTATGACAAAATATGACTAGTGGCTTTGCTTTTCTATCATAGTTTTAATTCTTGCATAAGGAAAAGAATCACAGAGGGTAAATCTCATGTTACATATAACTTCAAAAGTCCTTCCTGGATGTTACAACATGAGAAATTTACTAGACAGAATGAACACGTGGGGATTTCTAGTTGTCTCCCTAACTAAATCAAGGAAGAGAAGGAGCGTGTACTATGATTCTGATTTTGGATGACGTCCTGGTTCACTCTCAGTCTGGAAAATTATCAGCACCGCACTCTACCGAGTGAGCCACGGGCTGGCCCTCAGTCTGGAAAATTAATATCAAATTCCTGAGAGGGACTGTGCATACTTCAAAGATGTAGAGTAAGAGAATGACATGGAAAGACAGCTTTTAGGTCTACAATCCTGTTTCTACAAGTTCTACAGTCATGTTTCTTAAGTATAGGGAAGTTGCAAGACCTCCATTTCTCTGAAAAATTCACCTTCTTATTGGATGTGTTCCCTCTGACACATAAATTTATGATGTTTGTTTCTAGGGTTGGACAAAGAGAAAAACAGTTGAGTCATTTTCAGCAAGAGAGTCTAGTATACTTTTCTACATTTTATGGTGCCATACAAAGTCAGAGAAACTACGTTACAAACCTAGTTCTGAGTATTTCTAGCTATGCGACCATGACCATTTATTGAACATCTCATTCCTCAGTTTTCTCATCTTTAAACAGGCACTAAGAGCCGTCCTGGAACAAAGTAGATGCTTGATAAATATTAGTTCCTTTCCCAAGTTTCTTAATTCAAACACTCCTTTACAAATGAAAAAACTGAGAACTGAATAGTTAAGTATCCTTATTTTTTCAAATTCATTTATATTCTTTTTATTTATGTATAAGTGATTATTTTTCAGTGCTTCCAAGAATTTGTTTTTATGAGATTTTTAAGAAGCTTCTGGAAACTATATATTCTCTGTATATTTTCTGTTTCTACTACTACTACATAGTAACATATCAAAATATATGATGTATTTTCTTTTGTATAAACATTCATCAGCAAATATCAATTTGTTGACTACTATCTTGTTATAGACCAGACCCTGTGCAGGAACTTTATGATTTGGAGATTACAAAGATGAAGAGCTTTCAGCCTAAGTTAAGGTCTTTTTGCAGCAAATATAGTCAGTTTCTCCACTGGACAGATTTTTTCCTAAAACGGGGAGAGGAACAGAGGGAAGAAGGAGTGGGGGAAAGAACTAGGAGAGAGGAGAAGAGAGGAGATAAGGAAGAGAGAGGAGGAGGAGGAATGGGGGGGTTGGAGGGGCTTGTGTCTTTTCTTTTCCTTTCTTTTTTCTTCTTTCTTTCCCCCTCTGTCCCTCCCCCCTTCCCACTCTTTCTCCTTTCTGTTTATTCCTGAGAAGTAGAATCACACTATTTAAAAGAGGAGGAGGAGGACCTAGGTGCCCCAGCAGAAATAGCTAGCAGCCAGCACCAGCCACCTCCCAGGTAAATGAGGCCATTTTTGACTTTTTGGCCATTCCAGTTGCTCTCTGACTGCACCCACTTGAGTGAGCTCAAGCAAGACGAGGACAGCAGAAGAATCTCTCATTAACATGCAGAATTATCAGAAATCACAAATTGCTGTTTTAAGCCACTAAGTTTGGGACTGGCTTGTTACATAGCAAAAGAGGATTGATAGTACTTGGCAATAATTAAATGTTTGCAGGCTCTCAAATGACATTGTACTAGAATTTTCTCAATGAATAAATATACGTAGTGAAAATGGGTAACATTCATGTTTTTGATGGTCAACAAATGATATTAATTAACATAAAATTAAAATAAATATGCTTAGGCCTGGAAAACTTTGCAGTACTTCTAATAACAGCATGCAGGAAGATATTTCCCCCTCAACTCCACCCCTCCCACGCCCTCCCTACCCCCATCCCATGCTTTACCTCTGGACAGCATACAGGAAAACCTCAAGTAACTTGAGTGCCAGAGTAATTGAAGTTTGGACAATTCTTGTCAACTCAGAGTTTTACAGAAAACACACTTGGTCTCATCACTTAGAGAAATTTTTTGTTAGCTCGTGTTTCAATTTATTGATTAAGATACTTTAACAAACTTACCCAAAATTTGATTATCCCTAGGATCCTCTGAACCAATTGTTTTTCATGACTGATTTACAGGTAATAGTTTATTTCCCTTATACTTGAAAAAAGGATTTGGGACATGACAGTTCAAAATGTTCTATGTAAGGCAGAATCAATATATGTCTTAATTTTAATGGTTAGTGGTCCTCCAATGTCTCTAGATATTTTCTTTCAAAATAGCTAACACATAAGTTCTGTTTTGGGTCTTAAAAAACTATCTTGTTTCCTGAATGACTCTACTATTTAGAAGACAATTTAAAGGAAAAAGAGTAAAATTACTTACCACAAAAATTAAAACAAAACAAAACAAAACACAGGGTGACAGTGTAAGATTTATACAAAGGCTGTCAAATTATTTTCAAACCCAAGAACTTCTGACACTTGTTTCTACTTCTAGCATTTATCTAAATCATAATTATATATAAGTTAACTGGTTTTTAAATGAACACTTGATTTTAAAATATTTTTTGCCCATTTTTTGTACAGTTTATCACTGACTGTATTGTGTTTCTTACCATGGAAATTGAAGGAAATGATGCAAATGATAGTAATAATGGTTAACAGTAGTAGTCATACAAGTAATGGTAAAGGTGGTAGAGTATTATTTATATCCTTTATTTTGTGCAAATATTTTACATCTTGCTTTTTAAAAAGAAATAGTTAAATGACCAAGTCACACAATGAAGAAAACTTTGTAATGCCTGGCATATAATACATGCTTAATCAATATTTCTTGAATAAGTAAAAACTAGTAAAAAGTTATTTTATATGAAATGCTGACTAATAGGCTTGTGAAATTTACTGATTCAAGAAATTTGTTAATACTTCCCCATGAACCTTGCTGACGATGTAACTTTTGTGACAAGACACATTTGTTTATTAAGACAATGACTTGATTCTGTCATTGTATGTCAACCTCTTTCCTGGTACCAACCAACTCAAATAGCATCATTACTTCAGAAAACTTTCCACATAGTTTCCTCAAAAGGGTTAGGAACTTTTGAGTAATCTAAGTGAAGAAATTTGAATAGTGTTAAATACAGAGGAAAAAAAAGTGTCCAATAAATATTGTCAGCAATATGTTTCGGGGAATTGTGATGAACAGAAAGAGAAAAATACATGAGTAATGTTGAAAACCTTTATATCTTACATTTCTGAAAATGTTTTTGAGCTTATATTTAAATAAAAATATATCAGACTTGAGAATTAACAGTATTTCAATCACATAATAATGAGGAAAGGCTATAAAGCCATTACTCAGGAAGAACTAGAACTATCCTTATTCTTTTCCCTGCTGAGCTTCTCTCTGAAATTGACTCCACATCTCGGCTCTTAGAAGGATACTAATTTTCAGCTTCAGCTTAAGCCCTTTATTTAGTCTTACTTTTTAGGCTATGAATTTCTATGTTGGGACAGATGGGAAATTATTTCAGTTTAATATGTTCTACTGCTAAACTTTAATTTATTAGAAAAAACAAATGGGGTAGAGAAAGATAGGGACTATAATACAAAATAGGACCTAAGAACTTAAGTAGGCACAGTCAGTAACTACTAAAACAGGAAAAATTGGATTAAAAACTTAAAAAAAAGGTTAGAAAAAATTATTTAACATATTCATTTTTTTAATAGAAAGTAATTTTTATATTAAGGTTTTGAGAATTTCTTTTAGAAATTTAAAGGTATTAAAAATTAAAAAAAGATTATGGGACATTTAAATAATGTTGTGTAAGATGTATAGTTGTAATAGAGATATAACTTGTGGCCAGGGCCTCTTGTGTCTGCCTAATTCTTTTTTTATCGGTTTTTTCCAAGTCACCTTTTTATACCACAAGTGCTTTGGGTCATGTGGAGTTTGGTCTGGGAAATGTAGGTGATTAGAGAGGAGAAAGAAACTTTCTTTCACATGATACGTATTCATTGGTATATTCACTGACATTCTTTAGGACCTACTGTGTATTGCATTGTCCTACATGCTATAGGATACATGAAACATTCAAAGAAACTTAGGACATGACTCTGCCTTCAAAAGTGTACAGTTTAGCTGAGGAAGCAAGTCTTACAGCTGGGATGGAGATCCAGACAATAACATACAAGCAAACATGAGATGTGTAGGTCCACCTCTGTATCTTTGAGTGGCTTAGTCTATATCATGTGGCATTTCAGACCAAAATCCTTAATTAGGGTCTGAGAATTCAGGGACAAAGACCTTATTGCAATTCGTAATAGTGCAAAACTGGAAACACCCTCAGATTAACCAACAAGGCTGAGGTTGAACAACTATTGACTTGACCATAGAATGTTATGCAGCCATTAAAAAGAATGGGGACAAAATTACACTGAGATAGCATAAAAGGATGCTGAACACATATTTTCGAAGGACAAAAGTAAGCTCTATAGTGATCCATATAGAGTGATCCCATTTATATAAAACAGACCTATGTATACCTCTGCATATGTATATATTTGTATCTCCATGTATTATGAACATGTATATGTATACATATGTGTATATAAATGCAGACAGAATAGAAAAGTAATGCCAAATTGTTACCTGTGGTTCCCACTGGAGAGTGATAATGCGGAATAATAATGAAGAGTAGCTTGCATGTTTTATTCTACATATATCTGCAATGTATGAATCTTCTACAACAAATTATATCATCTATTTTTCTGTTAGATTAAAAATAAAAGAAAAAATAAATATGCTGGGTCTTGCTTTTTAGGATATATTCAGATGGTAGAACAAGTAGTTTGTTTTATACTACAAAGGAAGATGAGTTTTGTTTGTGGTTTCTGGATGAAATTACAACAGATAATACATTCGGAAGACAGAAAAAAGTCTGTAAGCTAATGTCTAAAGTCAGTCTTTGATGGGAATTGGCTCATGTTTTATGCACATACTCCAAACCTTTCCCAACATTTGTCAACAACCAGGAAAACATCTGCTTTCTTTGGCAACTAGAAAAGGAAGATAACTCTCTTTTTCAAGGGCCACATGTTTATGCCTTCAGGTGCTCACAAATATGCCTATGAACTGCATTATAGGAAAGGCAGGGCATATTGTTACATAGTCATACAAAGAAAATACATGTTATATTTCAGTCTAGTTCTTACCTCTCTAAGTGGAATGCTTATACATGTTAAAGGGAGATGATTCTTGAGGAAGGGAACGTAGGAACGTGAAATGATATATAAAATGCAACTTAGCAGAAATTTTGATCTGTCTGCTGTTTATCTCGGTTGGGCACAGCCTGACCATGATGGGTATATCATCTCACACCCTCGCTTCCCTCTTTCCTACCTCTTCCTCTTACTGGCCTTGAGGGAATGTGTATAAAAGACATCTGGAGGGCATGTAAAGCCATTCTACTGCAGACTTCTAGGAGCAGCTCACCCTCTTGCTGAGGTTTCCTGGCCCTGGAAGCAACACTAGCTCAGCTTTCCCGTCATGAGCCTCAGACCTAACTCCACCTCCTTCTGTACCAGTGCGAGCCTACTTCGTGTCTTACAGGTGTTGCTGCTACTGTCACTGCTCCTGGCTGTGCTGTTTTCCTCCACCAATGGACAATGTAAGTGAAACTTAAGGAAAGCTGAAGATAGAGGCCCTGCTTTCCAGCAGCTGTAGCTGCTTCTGCAGCTGTGTTTGGGGGAAAGACTAGCCTGGCACTTCTGGGGCTGGAGAATGCCATTATACTAATAATTCTAATTATTATCAAGAGATATGCTTAGTGGGTACTTCACATGGCTGGGCATTCTGCTAGGCACTTTACTAAATAAAGTTTTACAGATCATATTTGCAATGACCTTATTACAGGGGTACAATAACCCTCAGTTTACAAATAAGGAAACTGAGGAAAATAACCATAACCACTAATAGAGTCACATTTTCTACCCTAGCTGAAAGTATAGATGGTGAACCGTACTTTGAACTGCGCTGCTTATGTATGAAGACTTTCTCCGGAATTCATCCCAGTAACATCCAAAATTTGGAGGTGAACAGGGCAGGACCCCATTGTGCCAAAGTTGAAGTGATGTAAGTCACTGTTTCTGGAAGTCACTCATTATGGAAGCCGTCTTATCCCTCCCCTCCACTATTTTCGGTAGCCTCACAGATAATTTTGTTCTTTCTTGCAGGGCCACGCTGAAGGATGGGAAGAAAGTCTGCTTGGACCCAGAAGCTCCCAGAATCAAGAAAATAGTCCAGAAAATTTTGGAAAGTGATGGATCAGCTGCTTAATCTGTTCTCTTTCTGCCAAACCTTTTTGCCTTCCAGGAAGGGTAGGAATTTGAAGGCTTAACTTTCCACAATTCTTATTTATCCGGGATACCTATTCTTACTGTATTAAAATTTGGATACATTTTCCATTATGTTTCAAAAATTACAGTTTATTCTGAGAAGGCTAAAAGATGACAGAGAACTGGCCAGTTAGAGCAGTTGGATAGAGTGTTATAACACCAAGGTCAAGGGTTCAGATCTCCCTACAGGCTGGCTGCCAAAAAAAAAAAAAGAAAGAAAAGAAAGAGAAAAGATGACAAAAGATGGAAATGAGCAAGTCTAGTTTCAACGTGTAATATATGGTTTGCTCCCTAATTCTTGGCTAAACATTGTACTGTGCTTTGTATTTCTTTATTTGAAAATTTCTTTCCATACACATTTGTGCTAATTTTTCTTTCTACTTTGCTGTTAGACTAGACATGTCTACAAAGATTAATAGATTTCATAATGATTAGTGATATTAGGAATCACACAGTGCCCAGCCTAGAATACTTTCTCAGTAATGTTTGTTAATATACTTAAGGACTTAATGGAGTTTTTCAGTGTCTTAGTTCTAGGATGTCTTGTTTCAAAACATTCTTTAAAGTTTTGAAACATTTTCTGACAGTTATTATACCCTTCTAACCCTACAAATAATAAAGTTGTAAATGTAAGTCTTGTAAACAGTGATTATTTACTCTTAAGTGAATATATTTAATGCTAGTAGGGCAAAAATATATGAAAAAGAAACATTAATATACTCTACAAAAACAACTCCAGTATTTTCTGCAACAAAAGAAAAAGAAAGAAAAAGGTAGCTTTTATCTAATGTTAAATGTTTTACTCTGGCATGTTTGTCTACATTTGCATTTATTTAATATGTACATGATACAATTTTTGTATTAGAAGCAGCTTTGCAAGTAAGTATAATAAAGAACTTAAACTTTACTGAACTATTCTTCTTTAATCAAAGAACTTTTATTCATTTCTTAATCTCTAACATTTATGTCTGCACTACGCTTACAGAAGTATTAATATGGAATAAAAATTTGCTATTGATTTGTTGTCTTAAAATGTTTTATCTACAAAATAAATGCATTTATTAAGTAATAGTTAACCAAAAAATACATAAATAAACATGTAATAAAGCAGTAAATGGGGATTGTATTCATTTTCATTAGTTTTTTTTTTTTTTTTCTGCAACAATTCAAAATAGCTCAGGCAGCTCACTCACATATCCCCAGTGGTTTTCCACTGAAATCTGACAGGGTCATCTTCTGAGACACGAAACAGGGTTTGCACTATGCTTATGTCTCTTGAGATGCAGGTGTCTTATTTTTGTGTGCATGTATTGCATTATATATTCTGTTTATATGCAGAGAAAGGATGATTTAATTGCCACTCACTACTGCCTAGATTCCTTTACACTGTAAATATTGAAATCTGAGTGTAAGGTTGCACACACCCAGTATGTTGCCCAACCATATTCAAAACCATTCCTCTTATCCATTCTCTCTGCTGCTAACCCAGAAAGGGCCTCAAGTTTCAGTTCCTTAAACATAGATGAATTACAACATGTTCTGCAACAGCTATTGTGCTAGATGCTGGAAGTTCAAAAATACATGTCACAGAGAATTGCCCTTGAAGAGATCACTGTCCAGTGGGATAGGCAGACAAGTGGACAAATAGTTACAATCACATGTAACACATGTTAATATAGAGGTATGCTCTAATTGCAGAAAGGAACAAACACACCAAGCCAAAGCCTTATCATCATCATTTTCAACACTTATTGACTTCACTAATCTAGCTACTTTGTATTGAGTGTCTATTATAGTGCCAGAACAGTGAAAACATTATGACCTCTAACCTCATAGAGTTTTCCACCAGGAAATAGAATCAGCGTGAACACTTTTAAACACAAACACACATATACATCTCTGTGTATAATGAGCATGTGTGTATTTGTGAGAAATAGGAAAAGCAGAAGGTGCTATAAGATAGAACAACAAAGGATCATAGTTAGATATAGCTGTCAGGGAATGCCCCTCTGAGGAAGTGATGTTTAAGCTGGCACCAGAAATATGAATAGAATTTAGCCAGCTGAAATGATGGGTGGTGGGAAAGTAGAAGAAAGAATGTTCCAGGCCCAATTATTAAATTGCATGTTCCTGAAAAAGTCCAGTCCTGCTAAGCATTAAGATGTCAGTTAGTTCCATACAGTGGGCTCCTGATACACTTCACCACTGTTAATCAATGTAACAAGAGAGCCTTTGGCTTTGGGATGAGGGTGTACCTTGCCCTGATCAAGAGCCAATCATTTTTTTTTCAGAGAAGGGAAGACATTCCATACTGATCTCTTCACCTTCACTGTGTGGGAGTCTGTTCTTACCCTCCATCCTCACCTCATCATTTTTGTCTTTAGCTCCCAGGTACTCTGTGTCTCCTGAGATCATCACTGTGCCCCCCAGCAGTGCACGCCATCTAACCATGCCCCTGACACTGGCCATGGACCTGGCAGGCACTGGGAGATGTGGCCCGGCAAACTCTCCTTGTCCTCTCTTCTGGATTATCATCTAGGATGGAGCCTAACAGAGAAACATACATGTGCTAAGTTTTTACAAAAGGAATGTGTTCAATGATTACTTTTCTAGGAGTTATTTTTTCAAGGAGCAAGAGTAATGAGGAGAATAGATCTTGCTTCCTACGGTATATTGGATGTAGAGCCTTGTAAATCCCTTCAAAGAGACTGTGGAAGGCTTCCACAATCAAGTGAAATTCAGAAGAAAGTTATTGTCTAGAGAACAAATTCAACATTTTAGTATCAGGAAACAACTACAAACAACACACCTTTAACACACATAGCTGCCGAATTCAACTCAATGGTAATCAACAAGAAAGGCAGGAGCTTATAGCAGTTTTTGGTAATGCAGTTGGGAAGGAAAACAGAAACTGTCTCTGCTGTGTAAAGTGCATGGTGACCACAGAGGCCTCTGCTATTACCCATAACAAAGAAAACATACATCTTGTAAGATCCAAGAACTGTTTTTAACTCCACGAATATGCATGTATACAAGTTTGGGTTGTAGGTATGGATCCTGTTACCATAACATAAGGCCAGCTCCCAGGCAAGGCAGCTGACCCCAACTATTTTTTTTTTTTTTTTTTTTTTTTTTTTTTTTTTTTTACTTTTAATCTTGGCCGGCCAGAGCTCAGCTCTTTGCAGAAGTGTCTTAGCTTCCGCATCGCTGTTCCTCACTGCCCACCCCAGGCTTCCGGATGGGACGGACGATAGGGATAAAATGATGTGCCTGGGGAGTTCCTGGAGCCACTAACCTGTGGAGCCCCAGTTCCACTTCTCTTGAGCACTCGATCCCGCTGCAGCCTCCGAGACATGAGCCTCCCAGCGGGCTCCGGCGCCTCCCGCACCCGGCCCAGCCTGGGGCTGCTGTTCCTGGGGCTGCTGCTCCTGCCAGCCTTGGTCGCCATCGCCAGCGGTGAGATCTGAAGCAAGGCGGGCAGGGACCGGGCGCGGCGGGGAGAAGGTCCGGGCACCCCGGGGCTGGGGAGGAGTCGTTAACGCTAAGGATACCAGCTACACTTTATCGTGCTTGCTAAGCGTGCGGGCACGGTGCCCAGCGCCGCACGTGCGCTTAACCACCTGGTCAGCGCAACTTCTAAGGGAGGTATGCTTTGTGGCTAAGGAAATGCAGGCAGAGGAAAAGATCCCTAAGGTATCTCCGGCCACTCATGGAGTCACCACTCCCTCCCCTACTCCGGTCTTCCCATCTCTCGCTCTCTGTTCTCAGCTGATCCCGAAGAAGGAGATGGGGACCTGCAATGCTTGTGTGTGAAGACCACCTCTCGAGTCCATGCCAAGCACATCACCAGCCTGGAGGTGATCAAGGCCGGACCCCAGTGCCCCACCGCCCAAATGATGTGAGTCCTTGCACTGCTTCAGTCGGTGCCCACGCTTTGCCTCCTCTGCCCGGTCCCTCCCCTGTCTCTTCTCATCCATCTTCAGATCCAAGGACTGATAGGCGCGCCTGTTCTCTTTTCCCTGGCAGCGCCACGCTGAAGAATGGGAGGAAAATCTGCCTGGACCAGCAGGCCCCCCTGTATAAGAAAATAATCAAGAAACTTTTGGAGAGTTAGCTGTCTGTCTCAAGCTGTACGTTTTCTATAGAACATGGTTTGTTTGTTTTTTTTTCACTTTCAATCCGACTGTGAAAGAATCTTCTGACGTTTATATTAGCCTTCAAATCCTAAATAAACAAATAAAATAAATCAAGATGTGGTATAGTTAAAACATTTCTTAACAATAACGCAAAACATAAGGCCAACACATCACAATTTCATATATATAAGCACCTCCAGAGTTTTAAGCAAAAAATATTTCAAAGGAATGTTTGGTTTAGTAAAACTGGTTTTGATTAGCGTTATATGTTGGCTGATACATATTTGCATGTCTATGGGAGCGCATTACTTCATTGCTACATAATAATTAGTTTTGTCAGTAAATATTAATGCACTTAAGTACTACTAGACTACTTTTTAAAAAAATTAAGTAAGTCAGGCTCTGCTTTTATCCTCTTAAGATTTATCTCTTCCTCAGTATTATAAGAAATTAATCAAAATGAAACCAGAATTACTACTCGATGCTCAATATAATACTTTCAGGGAATCACATTAAAATATCTTATTCTTCATTGGTCCTTGGAAAATGTTGACATTTCACAAAAATGAAATGTTACAAACAGTTCTTGTACCCACATTATTGCCTGTAATAGATCCCTCATTTGACAAACCTGCAAGGTTGGTTCTTATTACTTTCTACTTATACACCATTAGTATCACTATAAGCATGCAAATGTCTTGCATATTTTTTCCCTCAGTATTCTCAGGTTCAGGGAAACCTATTTGCAGTTCACCACTCTTCCATGAATTCCTTAACATGTGAAATTAAGTTTGTATGTTAAATAGCTGTGGAAACCAGGAGAGGTGCAGAGTGGTATTTTCATTCTTGCTTTAGGAAGACACTACTTTGGGGAGAAGGCAAGGTGTTGCGATGGGGGTATGTTAGTTACCTTTTGCTTCTGTAAGAAATTGCCACAAACTCAGTGGCTTAAACAACACAAATTTATTATCTTACAGTTCTGGAGATTACAAGTTCAAAATGAGTCTTACAGGCTAAGCTCAAGATGTCTTCAGTGCTGTGTTCCTTCTGAAGATTCTAGAGGAGAATGAATTTCCTTGCCTTTCTCAGCTTCTAGAGATTACCCGCAGTCCTTGGTTCAGTGGACTCAGTGCCCCTTTCTCCATCTTCAAACTGCATCCCTCCAACCTGTGCTTCCATTTGCATATTTCCTCTCTCTACTCTTTTACTGCTTATACCCTGCCTACCTCTTGTAAGGACTGGTGGGAATACATTGGGCTCACTTGGATAGTCCAGATAATCTTTCCATCTCAAGATCATTAATAAATCTGCAAATGTGCCATGTAGAGTAACATATTCATAGATTCTAGGGATTAGGGCATGGAAATCTTGGGGAGGAGGAGGGGGAGAATTATTCAGCTTACCACAGTCCAGTTGAGGCAAGGGAAAGCTACAGACCCTTGCTCATGGGCTAATGCAATTCCAACCTAACGTGACATTTGTGCAGATGTAGGGTTAAACTCCTAAGAGAAAATAGAGAATGGAATAATAAATCTGTCTAGGGTGCGGGGAGGGTCCTTAGGATGACAAACTAATTAAAATAGACACAATTTATAGAGGCTTATGAAGTACCACAATAGCATCTAAAATTTCCACACCTACATTGCCAGTTGGGTAGTACATTCCCATTACAGAGTTGAGGAAACAGTCTTGGAAAGAACACAGCTCGTCACAGACCAAACAGATCAGTCTAACTCCCAATTCCATGCACTTGCTTTCTCTTTGTGCTGCC